AATATAATTAAGCATCTTTATGCTAAGAAAAGAAGAAAGGATCTATACTAGCTGACTGTATACAAGCTACAGTACATGCAAGTGTGTGTAAACACGTGTAATGATGTAAAAAATGAGACCTAGTGGCAGGTGCCCATGAATACATTACAAATATAATACAGGCTGCACATACAATATAAACAGCCTGTGGGTTTAATGTATTTAAAGATCATCCCATTGATGGTGCAATAAAGTGTGTGAACATTTACACTGTGAATATAGTGGAGAAGTCGAACTATGTGGGGTCTAGTGAGGCTGTAAAAAGACTGACACATTTAACTCCACCCATTTCCTTTTCCTGTTTAGATAGCTTCTCTGGATAATCTGTTTTCTCTTTACACAATTCTATACTCAGGATGTTTTCCATAAATTTGGGCTCCACTACGCAAACAGATGAGTGGAACCCTCACTCTCTGCACATGTGAGAATAAGAAAATTAGGGACACATATCCGCAGTAAGGGAATGTAAACTGGCTGACTCGTTCAGGACATCTTTCAGTACCCCACAAGAAACTCCAAACAAGTCTCATGCAGGTCACAATATGCATGCTTGTTTAAGGAGGAATTTCTGCATGAATGGGGGCGAACAGCCAAGCTCTCCAGGCCTTTCCTCATTGTTACAATACCAAAAGACTAATCTAATAACACACACACACAAAAACATTTCTGAGAAAACAAGACTTATCCAAACAAAAGACACATAATGTACATCTGTGTATATGTCCATCCATCTACACACATGTAACAGTGCGAATACAGAAAGGTCAGAGTGGTTTATCCATGAGGTGAGGGCAACACCTCACTGGAAACTGCATGCCACATGTGCGTCAGTTCTTTCCTCACAACACAACACAACACAACACACATCAGTGACAGGGAAGCCCCACACATGGGCTTCTCATCCAAGCCTGTGGCTTCCTGCAGGACAGCACAATGGGCTCTTCCCTTGATTGTTACAGCCCTGGACTCTATATCACTGCCACTATTTTGGCAGGGGATGTGCTGGTCATTTTTCTACCCTTATCACAGGCAGACATCTTCCCCTCACCCTGGACGCATGCCTTCCTCCACGATAAAACAGCCACATTTCAGAGGTCAGTCATGTGTCGGCTTTCCATTTAGTGACCACATCACACATCACTCATCTTTCCCAAGCAAACTGCATGGCTGTGCGGCTGATGTATTCTAATCAAATCATTTGCATTGCTTTCTGTTCTCTTATGGGCATTTGAAACAAACTCAGTTTGATTTAGTTTGACCATGTGGAATGCAATGTCAAGGAAGGACATGCAGAAACATTATTTATCATACAACATCCACACATCCACAGCTGAGAGGAGGGTAAACTGCTAAAGCAGATGTTGCTGCTAGGCTTCCAGGTAGGAATCTAAAGCCAAAAACGTCTCTTCCACAGTCACAGAAACATTCACTGCCAGTATCATCCCCTCGTTCCATCATGCTCAATCACATCTTGAAATATATTCTCAAACACATAAGAATCAAAGCCTCTCAAAAGAATCCTATTCGGAACATCCTGTTAACATTTCTGTCTCAAGAGCCTTCCTTCCTCTGCTAGTGGACACTGATAAACAGTATATGTGTGCACAGGTTATGTGTGTGTGCATCCAAGCACAGACTCTTGTTTTAGCTCTCATGAGCCACAGGGCTAAATTTGCCAATCAAAGTTTGGCATCTCCAGATAGAATTCAGAGCAAAAAATCCAGATAACATGGCAACTGTCTAGGGTCTGTAATGAGGCACCTTAGCATCAAAGCACGTATGACCAACAAAGCTGACTTTAAGGGTTTGGTACGGCTCAGACAAAGTAGTTTCATGGTGTGGTGCACTCAGTGGAATCACAAAATGTGATGAAAGTAGTGTGCAGGAAGAATAAAAAAAGAACATGAACAAAAAGTCCTAAAAGCCTAAACCTCCTCACAGCTGGCAAACTGTTGCATAGAGTGGGCCTCAAACCTGAAACTAGTAGATCTGATGGGTTTTTTTGGTCATATGTGTTAGTTAACTACATGTCTTTGGGATTTGTACTGTTGGTCAGACAAAACAACATTTGAAATCCTTAGACTCTGAGAAACTGTGACAGGCCTTTTACTATGTTCATAGAAAATGAGAGTAAGTAACTAATCAAGAAATTAAATGACAGACTGACTGAGCGTGCATGGCGGATTTTCAGTCCTGGTCACAATAATGGCCGGGTACAGCCCCCACGACCACAGCATCAAAAAGCACATGGAGACCTGTTCTGAAGGCACAGTGAAAATCAAGCTGACCTCACAGAGGGTACAGTTCATATAAAAAGTTCAAATGGGGATAACGGCAATTCATTTTTGCCAAAGCATTCATAGTGCCGCCCCCAGCTGTACATATAAAGTGAAGGAAACAATTTTAAAAAGAGGGGGCTTGAGAGAGAAGCTCAAATTCTGCTTCTTCTTCCACCTCTGCACAGCTGCGAAATCACTGTGTGAAGTGGACATGAATGTAGATTTCAGATGCTGTTCAATGATCCAACAAGCACGTTGGCTGAAGCACGCAGAGACCTTTACAGTGCTGTTATACTCCCCTCAGAACTGCTTATCAAACACATCTCATACCAACTCCAACGTCACGCCACGAGTGACCAGGTGAGAAAGTACACAAGGTTTGAACTATAGGCTTTTACACACAACTATTTGTAGTTTTCATGTTTACAAATGCCAGTGACATCCAGGAGAGGCTGTCTGAAAAAGTACTCCATTATCCACATAGCTAAATAATTACTGCCTTCCCACGCGGATGGAGAACACATGGCACTCTTCAAGCAAAACCCAGCCCTTTGTTCTAATCACAGAGTGTGCTAACACAGGGAGTCACATTGCACCTCATGGAGTCTCACTTGTTTACAACGGCAGAGCAATGTGAACATTGCAAACAAAATTAAGTCACACATATTTTCAATAGGCAGGGGGAATTCCAAACCTAAAACATCACATGGAGTCAGATGGTGGGAAAACAGTTGTACAACTCAGAGGCTGGGGTCCGGTTCAAAGAACTGAGTCCCTAGGGTCAGATTTGGATGTGATATTAAACAGAAACACATTTTAAAGCCACTTTTGACTTGGAAAAGTTCTGCATCAATTGGGAAACATCATAAAGTGACATGTGGTTGGTTATTGTTTTCATTTCCTATCAACTTTCACTCCTACCTACTGAAGCTCACTCCTTGTGATCCTTTCAACAACTTAGATGGAAATGTTTCTCCAGAAAGTCCGATGCTGGCTGATGTCAAACCAACTGACACTATTTAATTCTTATGATCAATATGAACTGCTTCTTCATTTCCCTAACTAAAATTAGCCCTCTGTCTCCCAGTGTCACTGCCTTGGAACAGTGCTGCACAATACACAAAGTAGATGAGCTGTGTCACATGCGTTCAGTTGATCCCCGACCAAATTCGATAGAAGCAATAGACAACGAGGCATTTTCATCACACCTGAGAAAATACGTTTTAATCTGAAAGCCAGATGCTATTAGTTTGGACCACTCAAACATCAGAATCATTTAATGAACCATCAGTATTCTCTCTCTGACAACTTGTAAGTGTAATATAAAAATCCAAATGAGGGTGTTTACATAATAATCACAGATAATCACCTTTTTTTGGCCAAGTATGTTACACACAAGGAATTTGTTTCCAATATAGCCATCTGCGGTGCCAACTCAACCGATGGCTCTAACCATCAAGGGCAACTTGGGGATTCAGTGTCTTGCCCAAGGACATGCAGACTACAGGCACTGAGATTTGAACCTCCAACCCCCAGGTTGGGAGGTGACTGTTGTACCCACTGATCCACAGTCACCCCGACATGCTTAGATATATAAGAAAAACAATAAAATCATGTGAACAGGAAGGTATTTTGCAAAGCGGGAACACTAGTTCCGTTACTCTGGTTTTATTCACGTATTCAGGGATGACATGCAACACGCGTTCCCAGGATGTGTCAGTTATCTAGTATGAGCTGTAACTATCTGGACACAAAGGTATTCTGACCCAGAGTTCTTACAAAAAGAAAGGACAACTTCACGGCCAGTGTGGTCAGGCAGCCATATTCTTCATTTTATCTTACATATGAGGATGTGCGTTTTGCATCAACTCCAAATCTTAAATGCATGCTGTACAGACTTCAGTTTTGAAAATGTTTTTATCACAGCTATTTAAAAACAACCTGCTGAGTTCATACCTTGTATCCACATTATGAATATTCATCAGCTTCTGTAATTCTTTCTACAAACAGATGTTCCATCACAACTAACATCTGCACTGTTGGTTATTATTGTGTGACAATGCAGATGTAAGGAAGAATGAAATGTGTCCACTACATTATCTAATATAACGTTGGATCTGTTAGACAGAATGACTGGCACACCCAAACATAAAGGAATGCATTGGCACACGACTTTGGAATAAAGCAGAGCATTGATTTCAAGTTACTTTGTAACATATAATAGCACGAAATGGCGATTTATACCCATAAAGCTTAGTATCAGTGTCATTGTGCCTGCGGGTCATGACCACAGCCCTCACTCCCTGCCAGGTCAAAGATCCCACCATACTGTCGCCCTACATGATGTACCACTTTTATTTTTTTTAATCTGCAAAAGCACATCGCTGTTAATGCCCTAATTCCACCAATCGAAACTGCAACATTAGGCGTTTTACAAGAAACATGGTTTGAGTTTTGCTATTTACCAACATGCAAAGCCAAGAGCCCTCCCACCTCAGAGAAGTCCCACACCAGACACTCCCCCAGCCAGCACGCCGCAGCCTGAGCATGTCTGCCGCGCAGCCCAGAGAAAGAAAGCCTAGTCACACGACTGCGTTCATGTTTACACCTTAATTGTCACAGCCGTGTAGTTTGCAAGTGAAAACAAACAATAATAAAAGACGCGTGGGAGAGAAAACTTACTGCGTGCGCTCCTGAGGCGAGGACGGCAACGGAGAGGCACAGAAGCAGCAGCCTGCCAGTGAAAATGGCTGAAGTTAATAATACTGATCAGCTAATCCGGCTGCGATGTTCTGCTGTGAATTGCACTCATATTCTGTTTACCTCAGGTTCTTCAGCCCTTTGTTGTGTTGTCCGTGCATGGTCCCACTCACGCGGACCGCAGATTTTAATCCCACGCCGGTCTCTCACTTGCAGACTTCTACAGCATGACTGTCCGACCTGAGGCACACCAACAGCCCCAGTGTCAATAAATCACAGGCTAGTAACACTAATCATGCGTCCATACACCTGACCCACATGATTAGGTCATATAATAATCCATTTTCACTGCTACTGCTGTGAAGAACTACCTCACCGGGTGCTTGCTGTCAGTGAGCGCCTGCAATAATTGATCATTTGTTCACTATGTCATTGATCATTTTCCATCACTTTAATAAAATGCATTACTTACAGTCACCAGTCTTCCGTGCAGTGGTTAGATGAAGAAAGCGGGTGTCACTGGGGTAGGGATGCGCGGGTTCCGGGACTAAATAGTTTCAGAACATGTAACAATTGCACCAAAAACTCCTCAAATATTCTCAAAAAAAGCACACAAAGTGTGCCGAGTAGTCCCTCTTCTTACACAGAGCAGTCAAAATGTTTGTAACAGCAGGGTTGAGTCCGTTTGCATGGACGAGGGTGGTCGTTTGGGGAGGAGGTGTGGTGCAGCAGAAACAAGACCAAGTGGCATTGATCAGAACCTCACATAGTCTCGGACAAAGATGCAACTAAACGTGCTGCCCGTGCTCCACTGATAACCCCGCGAATTACCTGAAGAAAGAGGACAAGAAGTGGTCAACAGGTGGTTATTTGCGGGCACTTTGCACTGTTGCGCACAGATCCCACAGCGCACCGCCACAATGCTACTGCCGTCCGGCACTCTCTTACTGCTGACGGCTCTCTACTCAAGTGTAGACCTGACAGGGGCTGAGGTAAGTGGACAGATGAACTACAATGTTTTCAGTTGTGCTTACGGGTAAACATGTGCATAAAGTATCATTTCAACGGTGTCTGATCATGTTAATGTGCACAACCTTTAAACTGAGCTCAGCTGGGGCTTCTTGTAGACTTTCTTCATGTACATGCACAAGTTTAGAGCAGCTCTGCCTCATCTTTACTACAGGTATAGTTAGATGATATTGTGTTCATCCGTCTTAGTGCTTTAGTTAGTATTTGAAAACGAACAGTAAACATTACAGCATCACATTGTACCAGATGTTTTATTTTTGAGCCAGTGGTGATAATAAGTGTAACTGTTTGCTTTTTGATTCTTCTTTTGACTTTGTCATGCTGCTCAAAAACTCCGTGAGTTGGGTCTAGTCCCAGTCCAGCCTCCTACGCTGCTGGAGGGGAGCAGAGAGAAAGAGGTGGGGGTGAGGGAGAGGGTGGGGCAGAGTCTGAGGGAAGTGTAACTGAGCCACATTAGACTTTGTCATCAGTGAGAATGATGATTGTGATTTTTTATTCAGTCACTCACAAACAGGGGTTTTCTCTTGATTCCCATTTTCCAGTTCAGGACGTCTGCTGACGCTCAGTCCAACATTCAGTTTCTGTACCCGATCCTTTACATATGATTGATGCAGCCCACTCACATTCATAGTCACTGCACTTTTATTTGGTACAGTGTGATGAAAGCAGGGCTTTGCACACAGCCTGCCCAGGGGGCATCCCAGGCGGAGAAACGGATACATAGAATATTCTGATGGTTGAAGATCCACTTTTCACACAGTCAAAAAGAGACGAGTTTAATAGAAAACAGCAGTGAAGGAGAACAGCTTGCTTCAGGTTCTCCTTGATGTCAGAAACTATTCAGACTTTCTGCTTTGTATTCTTATGTTTGAGTTTCGGCCTTTTGTTGAAATAGTGGTCAGCTTCAGCAGAATAGCAGAAATCCAGGTGAAAGTGAGAAAATATTGGTGGTTTGTATGAAGTGTAAAGATAAAGAAGAACAGGCTGTTAAACATTTAGTCTTACTGCGCAATGTAACGACGTGATGTTTCAGAGAAATTTAAAAAGTCCAGAAATTACTCCAGGCTGCTCAGAAGATGGAGAATTTCTTCACCTTCTGGGGAGTTTTGTGGATATAGTGTTTTTTCAGCTGCCGTGGATTGTAGCTGAGATGTTGTAATAAAGGACCAATAAGTATTATTAGGTTGTTTGAGAGAAACAATTCAGGATACTGGTTGCAATTGTGAGCTACATGATGATAGACAAGAACCTTTCCCTGTAGCTTGTCTCTGAGCTTTACGTTGTCATCTCCATAAACTCTCATTTTTGTTTCATCAGCTAATTTTCCAGGTTCTGGAATTAAACACAGTGACTGTGACTTCATTATGATGACAAATGATCAATATTCATTTTATTATTCATAATAATCAGCATTTCAAGTGTCTTGAGAGTGCTGAGAGCAAACATATCAGGTTAAACGAAGTGGCAGAATCAGCTTTCATACGCTGCCTGGATTTGACACAGACATATAACATTTGGGCTGGATGATTGAGGAGGTGTACAGTATATCTGGCTGAGCCTCTTGTTGCTAATCCGATGAAACTGAAACTGAATTGGGTTAATTCAGCATTCTAATTTTACTTAGAGTCCAGACTAAGATGTTTTTGATCCTGTCAGTTGCCTTTATCCATCCAAAGCTTCACAGTGAACAGAAAAGAAAGAGGCTTTGCTCAGATCCAGAATAATGAGTGAAATGTACTGTAGCTGTATTCATTTAATTCTGGGACCTGCACATTGGCCGGTGTCCACAAGGTGCCTCTGTGTGTTTATCTCTTAAGAGATGCTACATAAACTGTGTATCAGGATAAGGATAATCACCTTTATTGGCCAAGTGTGTTACACAGAAGGAATTTGTTTCCGGTACAGAACCAATGGCAGCCATCTGCGCTGCCAACTCAACCGATGGCTCTCAGCATCGGAGGCAGGGCCTAACTAAGGCCAGGAGTGAATGAATATACTGTGTAAACATTTCACAGTCAACCTCTAATGCACTCAAATGTGATAACCCTGAGCCTAGAACAGGACAGGCTGACTTTAGAAAGGCAGTAATGAAAATATAAAGTAAGTTTACCTTGACCCTCAATTTAAAAGTGAAGGACCAAGTTAATATTTTTCCTTTGCTCTCCTTTTATTCATTGTATCATCTGAGCCTGAGTGAATTTCTCCACTGTTTATATGAAATGAACAGAACAGAGCTTCTCCTGGCGGTCATTTAATCTGGTCAGAATGAGTCATTAGTAAATACTAGAGGAACATGAGGAGGAGGAGACGGTCAGATTAGCAGATTCCTGGAGTGGAAGTTTATGTGTGGGATGTTGGATGGGCGGATTGGGAGAGGTGGAAAGAAAAGCTGCTCTGTGCTTCTGGGTTCCCCCCTCCCAACTTAGCCATGATGGTCCAGGACAGGTTGAATCCGCGGGAGGATGAACACCTCAAAGAAGGAGGAAGCAGTGCTGAGAGCTGTTAATCCCTGTGCAGTCTGATGAATGTTGTCTACTGAAAGCTGAGAATCTCAATCAAGTCTTCATCTGTTGGTCCTGCTGCCCAAAGTGCAGACAAGGCTGCTTATAGCTTGTTCTAGGCCTGATCCTGTTGGACCACCCTCCTCCCCAACATCCCCCTGCAGAGACAACAGCTGACCCTGTAACTGCGGCCGGCCACCAACCAAGCAGTGCACCCTGTGAAGGCAGAACTTGTCTGACCCCTGTCCCCAGGATTGTAAAAATGCCTACATTTGGAAGAGTTACAATTGTGTTTGTGTCTCTGTATTTTGACAGGTGTCTCCAAGTGGCACAGATAATTGTTCTTTGACCATGATGCTCATGTAGTGTTGAGGATTAGATAGTGGTTAAGAATGGTAAAGCCTTTTCACTTTCATGTGGTCCAAGAATCAAGAAGGCATTTCCTTCAGATTTGTCACAACTGTATTTTATGTTCTCTATATATAAATACTACCTTTGACCAATAATAATCTTTTCACTTTAACTACCCCAAGATCTACTGGAGTGTTATCCCTGAGATTCCCAGAGGGAAATGTGAAATTGCATTTAGCCATTTAACTATGAAATTGGTGAGCCATAAATGTCATTTGTGGTTTGAATGAAGATGGTGTAATGGATGCATTTGTCTGACAGGGAGGTGGAGAGTGATGGAGGCATGTTCTGCTAGAGGACAGGGAGAGGGACATGATGAGGAATGCGTGTTGACACCCTATAGCAGTATTAGTCTCCTCTGTTCCCAGAGCCACTGCCAGATTGTCCAACTGATGGAGGATAATCAAGATAGTAATGATGGGCTCATCAGATTTATGACTTTCTCTTTTTTTCATACTGGGGCACATGAATAAAGAGTCATGTTTTGGGTGTCTTCTACTTCAGCTGTTCTCACTGTCAGTTTTATAATGCTGTTTTATAAAGCTTTATAATGATGGGTTGGCTACAGAGGACAAGTGCAAGACTAAACAACAGTGTTAAGGGTCCCATGGAAAAGCCTCATTGCTATATTGCAACCCTGTTTATGTTTGTGTTTACTCTGTGTGTCTGTGTTTGCGTTGCCACTACGGGGCAGTGCAATTGTGGGTCTGGGTGTGTTGGTATATAAGTGTGTGTGTTTGTGAGTTCACAAATGAAACCTGTTAACCCAGGGCCGGCCTGTGGCATAGGCGAAACAAGCAGAAAAAAAGAACAATATAGATGTGGGTGACACTGAGGATAAGTGTGACTATCCCAGTGACTGTGGCCGCTGCCGCGGGGGGGGTTTCAAAGCCTGTAGATGTGGGTGGCACTGAGGATAAGTGTGACTATCCCAGCGAATGTGACAGCTGCAGAGAGGAGCTTTTCAAAGCTCAAGCTGATTAAGACCTACTTGAGGTCTACCATGGCCCAAGAGCATCTCAGTGGACTTGCTGTCATCAGCATCAATAAAAATCTCGCCTAGGGCACCAATAGAGCCTGGGCTGGCCCTGTGTTAGCCTGTTTTAGGTGGGAGGGTCACCGCTATCCTTAGAATAGGCATATAAAAAACCCACCATTGGCAGCAAAATGTCTGATTATAAAGATAATGCTACTGACATTCCAAACACTTTATGTATCACTTTCACACAGTTTGCACACACTTTCAGTGGAAGTCTGAGATGTGATTGGATTTAGTGAATGCACACAACTTCAAGGTAAGTCCAACATAGGGACTTCACAGGCTTCTGGTGCAGTCTGAGTCCAGTACTTTTTCTCAGTGCAGAGCAGCTACCAATAGGGCTGCAGACTGAGGTAGAGCTAGTATACAGTACCTGTGTAATGTGGAGGCAGAGCAAAGACTGGAAGGCAAAGGACAGTTACTGGTGGAGAAGACTTTTAAAACAGAACCTAAATAAGTGCTGGGTTTTCTGATCTGGACAAGGTAATGGTTCACACACTGGTGTCTTGTATGACAAAAGTTAAATTTGTTTCCACATGACTGGCGCAGACTGGATGATGCCAGTGTAAGACTTTGCACGTGCAGTTCTCAGTTTGAAACTTGTGCAGCAGTAAGTCTGCTGAATTAATGTGATACAGATTGGAAATATAATCTGATCAGAAGTTGGTCTGAATATCTGTTTTGAATAAAATGAAGAAAGACCTCAATTCAATTAAAAGTCAACTTTTTAAATGTAATTTCGCCTTTATTGACAGAATGACAGAAGCCCACAGAGAGACATAAAACACACACTCACAGAAAGAGAGGGACATATGTACAACAATGAGTTTTGGCTGGTATCAAAGTGTGACTGTTACATGGTACAATACACATATTTTAACCTGCAGGCCAGAGCAATTTTAAAACCTTTATTTTACAAGAACTTATTAATCGTCCTTACTTCATTGTTAACAGGATACATTAGTGGTGGAATCAGCCGACTGAGTGTCAGATATCAGAGCTTTTCATCAGT